AAGGCATACGCGGGCCAGGCCGACGGGGAGGCGCACGCGGACGAATAGACAGACAGTAGTGGGCCGGGCCCCGCACCTCCGTCGGAGTAGGTCTCGGTGCCGTAGCCGTCCTGGAAGCCGTCCTTCCAGAGCCCGGCGTAGCGCAGGCCGGACACGCTCTCCCACACGCCGCTGCGCCCCTTTAGCCCGCCCAGCCACTCGCCGCGGTATGTCCAGCGGCTCTTGCGCTCCACGCCCAGCCCTTCGCGCTTGCCCTGCTGCCAGTGGCCCTGGTAGCTGTGTCCGCCGGGCCCCGTGAAGACGCCCAGTGACTCGAAGCCGTGCGCCCAGCAGCCGCTGTACTCGCCCTGGGCGCCGGGCCCCGTGCACACGCCGTAGCCATGTGCCCGCCCCGCCTCCCAGCCCCCCACGTAGCAGCCCCCGTCGTCAAAGTCGAACTTGCCCCCGGGGGACATGCATGTAGTTGGCGCGGCCTCAGCCCCCCGGCGGCTCAGCGCATCCTGGGGCTGGAGAGCCGGCTGGGGGCCTGGGAGCCGGGCGAGGCCTGGGGGCGGGGGCAGTTAGACCGGGGCCGGGCGGGGGGGCCCCAGCGCGGGCTGACAGGGCCGGACCCTCATCCTGAGTGGCTGCGGAGAAAGAGGGGGGAAGTGGCGAGCGGGGCCCCTCCTCTTTGCCCGCCGCTCCCTGGCCCAGTGGTTCCCCGGAATCAGCATCGCCCCTCAACCCCCCACCCTTCGGCAGCGTCTTCCAGCAGCTCCTAAGCTTTGGAGGCACGGGGGCTCCCCCAACCCTCCATTCTTGTAGAGGGTCCCTCCCAAGACTTGGGGTCCCAATCTCAAGCGGGAGTCCCACTTCTCCAACCTAGAACCCCAAAATGTCGAGTGTGGATGGCAGTTGCGGGGGTCCTGAGAGGGGGCTGGGCAGGGTCTTAGTCTACCCCCTTCCTTGGTTTCTGTCAGGACCCCTCTGTCCTGGTTCTTTGGCTTCCTAGGCAAGGCGGAGGGCTTTGAAAATGTAGGGTAGAGATGGGGCAAGGTGGGCAGAGGGTTTGGTGAGGGAAAGGATGGGGATGGGGGAGGCTCTGCAGGAAAAGGCGAAGGTGGAGATGGGCAGACAGGCAGGAGGGAGTGGGTAGGTTACTCACCATGTGGGCTGGGGTTCAGGCAGCCTCCCAGGCTCGGCGTCCATGGCAGGATACCTCCACTCCCACCTCGCCCGCACAAGCCAAGCCCCCTCCCCTTCCGGAGAGACTGCTCCTACCCAGAGAGCGAAGGTGGGGGAGCCGAAGGAGAGAGTCCCCTCTCTCCCCAGCTGGAGGAGCAGGCGGGGAGGGGGGGGGCAAGGTAGTGGCAGGGGTGTGGGGGGAGATGAGAATAGTGTAGAGAAAAAAAAAATCCGCCTTGGATGGAGCTAGGGAAGAGGAGCTGGGAACTGGATGGGAAGGGAGAGGGGGCAACCAAGAGAGGGTGTTTTTATTATTTTTTTCTTCTTATGGTTGTGAGAGGAAAAAATATCAAAATTCCGATTCCATCCCAGCACAAATCAATGTTTGCTCCATCCCAGCATCACGGGGGAGGCTGGGCCAGGCAGATTTAAAGGGGCAGGGAGAAGAGAGGAGAGGAGAGGGTGGGAAGAGGAGGAGACAGAAGAAGAGACAGTGGCGAAGATAGCGGCGGTGGGGGGATGCCCAGGCAGAAAAGGATGGATGCCCAACAAACCTGCCGGGAGGGAGGAGGCAGGTAGACAGGAAGCTGAGAGGCACAGAGAACCCCCAGGATGGCAAGATACCCTGGGATGCGGGCAGGGAGTGGGGTGAGGCCGGGAGGAGGGGAGGGGATGGAGGGGGAGGAGACTGAGCTGAAGACCTGGAGGCTGGGGGAGGCCGAAGCCAGGCGGGGGAGGAGAGATGCTGGCGTGGCCGGGAGAGGGCGAGAGGAATACAAAGAAAGAGGTGCAGGGTTCAGAGCGAAGGAGGAGGGAGATACTGGCAGAGAGGAAGGGAGGGAGACCCATTCTGGGGCTGGTGAGGGATGGCAAGGAGGAGAGAAGCTGGGGAGGAGGAGAAGGAAGGAGAAAGAGATAGATATGGAGACGGAGAAAGTTGAAATAAGGGTTGTGAAGGGAGAGAGAAAGCTCTGCACAGGGAAGGGCAAGCGTGAGCATAGAAATCCATGCAGAAAGAGCCCAAGCAGAGGCTGGAGGGCTAGAAGTGGTGTTTGCAGGGCTCTGGGGAGAAGGATGAATCTGCCAGCTGCTTGGACAGAAGCCAGGAAGCCTTTGATGCCTGTGTCCACCAAGACCACTGCCCTCCCTAAGTAACCACGGCAGCGGGACCAGGAGGTTTCCCCACCAGCACTTTCTGAGGAAGCTTGAAATGGGGCCCTGACAGGAAGCCTGGCTCCACCAATGCTTTTCTAGGCCTTGCCATCCTTCACCCCACACCAACTATTGCCCCCCAGGGTTGCCCCTCTGCAGGGGGAGGGCTGACGTGAGTGTATTATTTTTGAATGGGGAGCGAGGGGTCACCCTTGGCTGTACCATGAAGGTCTTGGGGCTTCAGAGTCTTCTGTTTTGCAAACCTAAAGGCAAAGACACAGACATGTTTGGTTGGGCCCTTATTGAGGCAAGTCCCCCTGCAGCCTACCGCCCCTTACTGACCACTTACCAGAGGGGCAGCACATCCTGGGCCTTGCTGTTTATAGCTGGACATAGGCACATACTGTTTTTCCTACCTCCTCAGCTTACTTAGATGCTGCATTTATTCTGCCCTTAAGCATCTGGTAAGGTGGACACTGTCCAATTACAATGCTGTAAATAATCAAATGCACTCAATTGCTTTTATTTTCATACTAGGTCTGGTCCACCCCATCATTTTACAGAGAAGAGGGCTGAGGCCCAGAGAAGGAAGTCACACACTGGTGGTCACACAGCAGAGGTGGCAGAGCTAGGGTTAGAACACTAGACTTCAGATGTTTTGAGACATATAATTCCTCCCAAGATTCCATGTACCTGGGAACTTCCCTTTGATTCAGGAGCTCCATTTTGAATACTTTGGTAAAAATGAAGAGCATGAGGTTTGGAATAAACAGGAATTTCCCTTGCACTTTGTTTTCCTAAAGGGGGATATGTGGTTGAAGGAACATGGAAATTTTAAGCCTCTAGTGCAGGGACCACATCTTCTAAGTGCTTAGCACAGAACAGAGCAGCTACGGGTCCACTTGGAACAAAACTGGTGGTAGAGACCAACCGACCTTCCTTCCTCCCTCCCACCCACACTTACATAGCTTATTATGTACTAGGCTCATTGCCAGGGGCTAGAGATACAGTGGTGAACACTGTTGTGCCTGCCTTCATGGAGCTTACTATCTAGTAGAGAAGACAACGAATAAGCAGTTCTAGTGCAGTTAGTGCTGTGACAGGTTTGGAGGGTGGAAAGAAGGAATAGGAATGGAACCTCGCTTAGGCTGGCTCCCTAGGGCAAGAGCCATTTGAAATGAATCCAGAAGGACATTCTAGGGTAGGCCCAGCTGCATCACATCACTCACCCCTAGATATTCAGGCCTTCCTTCTTCACACAGTGCCTTGTCCTACTCAGCCCCTAAGAGTCTCCTTTTCTCTAAGAAAAAAGAAAACAAGAAAAGAAAAACCAGTGTCTGGGCCTGGTTGAGACCTGTGCCCTATTCTTTTTAAAAAATATTTTTTTGATTGGGGAACGGTGTGTTTTTCCAGGACCCATCAGCTCCAAGTCAAGTTGTTGTTTCAATCTAGTTGTGGAGGGCACAGCTCAGTGGCCCATGTGGGGATCAATCCAGCATCGTTGGTGTTATGAGCGCTGTGCTCTAACCAGTTGAGCTAACTGGCTACTCCAGTGCTCTATTCTTTAGGGAGGAAGAGTGCAGGGTAAGTGGAAGGTAGGGAGAGATGCATTGTTGGTAGGGTGACTCCATACTGAATTCTCAGCTGCAAATCAAGGTGTGGGGTCTGATGAAGCCCTGAAGAAGTCACTGACAGAACTGCCCTGGAACTTGTGGGGCACAGAGTCTCAGCCCCCCATATCTCCCTGAGCGATGCAGCTTTCCAGCCCATCTGGTCTGTTCCTACAGGTCCTATAATTTCTCATCTTAGGGCAGAAACACTTTTTAAAAAATTTTTTTATGGAGGGTACACTGGTTTGTTTTGCTCCAATTTACCAATGTCCAGGGGTCATAGAAAAGGGAAGCAACATTAAAGGGAGCAGCTCTGTGCTTGGAGCGAGGTACTGTGTATGGCACTCCACCTTCATTTCTTCATTCAATCCTGGCAATAAAACTAACTGCGAGCAGCTGGGCCCAAGAGCTGGGCTTTCAAAGATGGACAGACTTCTGTCTGAATCCTGACTCTACTGCTGATTCTCTGGGTAAGCCTGAGCATATTCCCTGACTTTCCTGAGCTGCAGTTTGTGTATCTCTAAGGATACACATGAGGATGCCATAACCTACTCTAGAGTTTATTGGATTGAAATGATCATGTGTGAAAGTACATGTGATAATATATGGGGGAAAAGCACTCAGCACAATGCCTGCCTAGTGCATAGTACATGTCCAGTAAATATGGCTTGGAAAATACAATGGCATTATGCCAGTTTTATACATGAGAAATCTGGGACCGAAAAGTTTGTTCAGTGTTGCACAGCTAATATAATATATGGCAGCTCTTGGTTTTGAATATATCTCAGACTCCCAAGTTAGTATTAGTTTAACAAATGCAATATATTGAGCCTATTTATAAAAGTAAAGTGTGCTCATTATAGAATTAGGAAAATAAAGCACAATATCAAGAATAAAAATCACCCACAGTCTCATTACATAACAGACACTTTAATGTATTTTCAGATAGTCTTCTCTTCTATTCACTTTTTATTTAACGTAATTAGTTAAATGTTGCGTATGCAATTTTGTATCCTACTTATTCACTTTGCATTACACTGTAAGCATTTTTCCATGTCATTAAAATATCCTTGAATTTTTAATGACTGCATAATATTTCACTGTTTGGATACAGCATAATTTGTTTAACCATTCTAGCAAAGCACTTTTATGCTGTTTGCACAGTTTTTGCTATTAAAAATTTGAAAAAATTTTTAAAGATTTTATTGGGGAATTGGGGAAGGAGAACAGACAAGTTGCTGTCCTTTTGATCTTCAGTCTAGTTGTGGAGGATGTCGCTTCACTGGCCCATGTTGGGATTGTGATCATTGCACTCTTTCCTGGCTGAGGCAGTCAGTCGCCATCATTGGACGGCTGCTCACGGTGGCTGCCGGTCGCTCACATTAGCCGCCCGTCTCTCATGGTAGCTCACGGCAGCCCACTGCAGGCCCACTGCAGCCTATGCAGTCGCCAGCAACTCATGGCAGCCCAGCTCCAGGTCAAGCTGTTGTTCACCATCTTAGCTGTAGAGGGTGCAGCGTCATTGGCCCATGTGGGAACCGAACCGGCAGCCCTGCTGCTCAGAGCTTGTGCTCCCAAGCCAACTCTTAACCAATGAGCCACTTGGCCGGCCCCCCAAAATTTGAATCTTTTATACAAATCTTTACATATCTGATGATTTCCTTTAAAAATGTTTTATCATGGAAATTTCAAACATATACCAAAGTTAACAACAAAAAAATAAAATAAAGACTTCCATGTACCCATCACCCAGCTTCAGCAATGATCACTTTTGACTAATCTTATTTTCTCTTCTGCCATTTAATTCAAATTTCAGGTAACATGTTCTTCCAGTCTATTGATTCTTGACGTTGGATTCTTAACAGCAGAATTACTGGGTCAGAGGACAGAAATACTTTGTAAGGTTTTTTATTTATTTTGCTAGAATCACTTGCAGAAAGGCTGTACAAATTTATACTCTCACCAATTGTGCATGAGAGTGCTGGTGTTATTGCACCCTGACCTGCATTTTTTATTTTTATTAAAAAACACTTTTTAAACTTTTTAAGGAAATTTTATTGGGGAACAGTGTGTTTTTCCAGGATCCATCAGCTCCAAGTCAAGTAATTGTCTTCAATCTAGTTGTGGAGGGTGCAGCTCCTTGGCCCATGTGGGAATCGAACCGGCAACCTTGGTGTTATGAGCCTGCGCTCTCACCACCTGAGCTAACTGACTGCCTCTTAACTTTTTAATTATAGTTGATATGCATTATTATGTTAGTTTCAGGTGTGTAGCACAGTGGTTAGACATTTATATAACTTACAAAGTGATCACCCCAATAAATCTAGTACCCATCTGACACCACACATAGTGATTACAATATTATTGACTATATTCCCTATGCTGTACTTTACATCCCCGTGACTTTTTAGCATATTGACCTGCATTGACCTTTAGTTGTAACACACACACACACACACACACACACACACACACACACACCCTTTTGTCAACTTGACAGGTAAAATGCTTTCTTCGTGTACATGTATTTGATTGATTGCTGGACTTATATTGAGAAGGCATCTGGTGACTGCAATGGAGTGAACCCTCCTGAAGGAAACATGCTGATACCTCCTGGGATCTGTGAATTCATCTTCCCCTTGTGCTTGGACCAGCTAGCTTCCCCGTGCCCCCAGGGCAGGGAGGAGCTTGGGAAGTTGCCTGGCCTCATCCCATGGGTAGCCACCAGGGGTCAGGATAGGGCCAGAGATCCAGATGGTGGCAGAGAGAGTAAGAATGGCCAGCAGCCGGACATTGTATTTCCTCTGTCCGGCCACTGCCGGCTGGACACAGCCCCTCTTTGCTCTTCAGATCATGATTCCAGAGTGTTCTGGATGGCTGTCCTTC